TAGGAACTGCAGAAAATATTTTAAAAGTTTATTACTGAATTTAAAAATATTTTAGAAGTTTTGTAATGGTGGTGTTTTAATATTTTGCATAATTAAATATGTACATATTGATTAGAAAAATATAACAATTTTCCTCTAACCCAGAATGTTATTTGTAATCAAATGTGTAGTGATTACACTTGAATTGTGTATTTAGTGTGTATCTGATCCTCCAGTGTTACCCCGGAGATAGATTATATCTCCACTGTATTTAAACCAAAATGAACTGATACTTGTTGGAATGTATGTGAACTAATTGCAATTATATTAGAGCATATTACTGTAGTGCTGAGTGAGCAGGGACATTGCCTGCAAGGAGAGGAGACCCTTGGGATTGTTTTGCACAGGTGTGTCTGGTGAGGAGTTGTTCAGTGTGTGTCTTTTCCTTCCCCCTCTCCTCTCTTCCCTTATTGTAGTGCCTTATATGAAAATGTAGTGGTTAATAGAGTTTACAGTGAGCTTGCCTTAGGATGGACCAGCAAGCCCCAGTGGACCCCAAGCTGTTCACTGGGATTTAACAGAACAGGTTTAGTAGCTGTGTTGTGTAAATGCATTGTTCTCAGTCTCCCTGCCAACAGTGAGAAATCAAAACAGCAGCTTTCCTTCTTTACTGCCACCTCCATCCCGTTCCATTTTGGATCCTTAGCTCAGTTCTCACAGAAGCATTCCCCTATGTGGCTTTCTCACTGTGCCTTGCTGCCTGGCTTCTGTGAGAGTTCAGGAAGCAGGAGAGAGCAGTGAAGCCAGTACTAAATATGCATATTTGAAAGTATGTGCAATCACTTAGGATGCGATTTCCTTTCTCTCTTTTCCACACGGTAGTTCCTGCACATAGTTGATGTTACTAGTAAACTATTTGCTTGTTTCTTTTAAAAAGCATGTAACAGATGTGTTTATACCAAAGAGCCTGTTGTATTGCTTAATATGTCCCCATACTATGAGGAGGGTTTTATAGAACTACTGGTGACAAGCTTACAGAAAGGTTTCTTAATCAGTGAAGAATATTAAAAAGAAACCAAAGCCTCTTGAATCACCACGGTTTTGAGGTTTCTTTGTAACAGCGTGTATGTTCTTGGGGCCCTTCAAGCTGTGAAATTGTCCTAGTATTCAACTCCTCCACAGATTTGGGTCAAGTTGAAGGTACTAGGGATGGGGACATTCCTGCCCAAGAAGGATTTACAGGGAGAAGGTTAACCCTGAGCTAGAGGTGTGGTCCACCTGAATTGATGATTACATTTGAGTGGTAATTCTAGGATTGGTTCTCTATAGAGATGGTGTCAGGGAGGTGCAGGATGGAGATGGGAGATTTCATGGGGCCTGATCAGCAAGCTCTGAACAGGCGAAACACCGAGGAGCTGTCAACGGATTTGGAGTTTCTTCATCATGGGGAGTAAGGGTTTCCAGGGCAGAGCAGGTAGTCAGTACAGCCTGCCAGGAACGTGGTGTGTGTTGTCGTTTCTTTAACCATTATATGAAGCTGTGTGTTCAGCAGTCTGTTGGTTGAGATAACCACGCATTTGTGTAATTTGTCACTAGCGTTATGCAGTTTAAGTCTTGTGTATGTGATCTTTGTGTCTCCTTTTCTCCAAGCATTCTAGTTTTTTCTTGTTTAAATACAGTTTTAGTTTCTAGTTGGAGCATTTTTATACCTTATCTTTTCTCTACAAGGGACAAGATTTATTGTTTTTATAGGATTGAGATGCAGGGAAAAAAAAAACAAACAAATGAACCAACCCTCACCCTGCCCCCTCATCCAATAAGCAGTTATTGAAGATGGGAGTCTTAAACCCATGAGGACAGAGGATGCTCAGGTGCTTGCATCATCACCTGCAACATCTGGCCAGCAGTGTGACTTTACAGACTTTGAGGCTGTCAGTCTGCAAACTGACATTTCAGATTCTCCAGGATAACTAACCTGTGTCTGCTGAATGTGTATGTGCCCGACATAGTCTTAGGTTCATTCTCTCCTGGGCTTAACATTGACCGCTTGCCCTGAGGGCATGGAGGGGAGCCTATGGCTACAGTGAGCAGCTGACCTGGGTCAGCATTGCCTGACTCGGACCAGCTGAAGGTTTTAAACCCTCTCTTAGAACTTGCATTTTCCAGCTTCTTTCTTTCCTGGTGAGAGAAGAAGTGGAAAGGGTTCCAGAGAGCCACCATGGCACACCAGGACACATAGTCACTTCAGGGTTCCATTGCAACTAGAAGATGGTTACCCTTGTGTTCAGCTGAAATGCCAACCCCAGGAATAAGAATTCCACTTCAAACAATGCTGGCCATAAGCGCCTGTTTTTATGGTTGCTCATCCATCGTCCTCCACTAGAGGGGCTTAGCTTGACCGCCCTTGGCCAGGCCAGCACAGTAATCTGTGTTTATCCTGCATGATTATGCAGAAATCTACTAGTTGAGATGGTTTGTTTTAGGATAGGAAATGAAATTGCCTCTCAGTGACAGGAATGGCCAAGCCTGCTTTGTATTTTGACTTTTTTTTTTTTTTTAACTGATGGATGGTGCAGCATGTCTCCATGTCTCCATGGTTGTTTGTTGCTAAACTTTATATAATGTGTGGTTTCAATTCAGCTTGAAAAATAATCTCACTCTATGTAGCAGTACATTATATGTACATTATATGTGATGTTAGTGTTTCTGCTTTGAATCCTTGATATTGCAATGGAATTCCTACTTTATTAAATGTATTTGATATGCTAGTTACTGTGTGTGATTTAAACTTTTTTTTTCTTTCTCCCTTCTCTGGTTGTGTGCTACCTTTTACAAAAAGCTTCTAGAAACAGGTAGTTCTGAGAATTACTGAGCTATGTTTGTAATGCAGGTGTACTTAGGGAATATGTAAAATAATCATTTTAACAAAAGAAATAGCTATTTAAAATTTAATACTAACTATGGGAAAAGGGTCCATTGTGTAAAACATAGTTTATCTTTGGATTCAATGTTTGTCTTTGGTTTTACAAAGTAGCTTGTATTTTCAGTATTTTCTACATAATATGGTAAAAAGTAGAGCAATTGCAATGCATCAATAAAATGGGTAAATTTTCTGACTGGCTGTTTTTAATTCTGTGTTAGAGCGTAAAGGGGATCAATAATGGCATCTTTGCAGTGACTAAACATTCTATTTGAACATGAGTAGAACACTGTTACATTAGAGCATCTTTGTACAAGTCTCCATAATGGAAATGAGGAAGTATTTCCCAAGAGTAAAGTGTCTCCAGCGCTCTGGAGTCCTAACTATGACCCTTTGAAAAGGCAGATGGCTTGAGATAAGCTAATTAACTTTGTTTCCTAGCATGTGACACCAAACATTTACAGAAGCAAAGTGAGAATATGAGTTCAGAAAGATGTTTTTGTTTCTCTCCTTTGGCCCTGTGAGATCTGTCCCTCTTTAAAGAAGAACCAGAACCTTGAGAGCTGTGTCAGTGGGGGAGCACCTGGTGCTCATATTCCATCTCCAGCACCCACATCAGACCCCTCACAATTGAGTGTAACTCCAGCCACAGGGGTTCTGGCCACACAGACACAGAACCTCTGATCAAATTTCTTGTGGCTCCAAAGTGAACAAAAATTTCTCTTGAAAAGAAAGGACGTCTGTATTAACCACTGCAGGTCCCTGAGTAAATGATATTTATTTGACTTCTTTTGATGTATGCTCCTGCCTAACTCTTCAGTGGCCAGTTTAAATTAACTAATTTACCTTGGGCTCCTGAAGCTTTAGTTGGGTAGAAATGAGAAACATAGGCTGGAGAGAAGGCTTAGCAGTCAAGAGTGTGTACTGCTCTTGCAGAGGGCAAGAGTTCCTCCTCAGCCACCAGTCAGGCAGCTCACACCCTCCAGTAATTCAGCACTGGTAGATCCGGCAGGCTCTTGGCCTCCACGGGTACCTGTATGACATGACATGTACATACCAGCATATAGACACACAAAAGTATACACAACTGAAAAATAGCAAAATTCCAAATAAATGAGAAATCCCTACTGAACCCTACCCAAGAGAGAGGAGAGATTTGTTTTGGTTTTGACGACATCAGACATACTTTTTCAGGTTTCTCCCCCTAAATCCACAAATGTAAATTAGCATGCCCCTGCTGCATCCTCCAGTTTTGGCAAGGAAACACCTGGAAAGTCATCTCAAATATCTCTCGGGTCCTAATTTAAGTCAGCTAGTAACAAAAACAAAAACCACCACTTCTCAGTAACCTCAGGTCTTGTCGTTGATTTTTATCTGCTATATTCTTTTCCTTGAGCTAAATCAGAGATTCGGTACTCCCATAGGGAACCCTGTATTCAAAACAAAACAAAACAAACAAACAAAAACCGTACAAATTCAGCCCATTTGGCTTGCTTGGGTAGATTTTCCACATGGGGTGAAGTCCTAGCCTGATTTCTTTTTGTCATGAGAGATGGCCCCAGGTGTTGAGCACGAGGTGGCGCCAATGAGCTATAAAAATTTGACTTCACTTTGCCCCCAACCCCCACCTCCTCAAACCTCATCTCCTGTGCTTCTAGCTTCACTGAACAAGGCAGAAAATCCATTCTGTTATGGCTGGAGAAGGGATGGGTTAGTGAACGGTGTCGGTTTCTTACTAAGTCAGCACTGGGAGCCCTCTCCTAAAACGAGTGGAGTTTGCTGAGTTTTCCCGGGGTCTCAGCCTCCTGAAGCTTGCCTCCCCCTTCCCCCAACACCCCGGCCCCCCCCCTCCCCCCGTAACTGCCCAGAAGGTCTCTCCTTCAGATTGCCATCTCATTCCCTTCCCGAGGAGCTCACAAGTCTAAGCTGCTGGCGGTTAAGGCTTCTGGCGTCGGTGCAAAGGGGCCATCTGTGTTTGATCAGTCCAGGCGGGAAGGAGGGGGTTGGGGTTGTAAAGAGACTGAAAGCATTCCAGAGTAGTGAGAGACATCCAGAGATGAGAAAGAGGAGGTGCCGCCCCCGTGAGAGACATCCAGAGATGAGAAAGAGGAGGTGCCGCCCCCTTCCCGCCTCCAAAGCTAACGGGCTGGAGAGAAAGAGGCAGAAACTTACACTCCTACCCTAGCCCCACTAAAGGCTGCCATGGGGCCCAGTGCGCCTCTGCTCCTCTTTCTCTTTTTGTCGTGGACTGGACCCCTTCAGGGACAGCAGCACCACCTTGTGGAGTACATGGAACGGCGACTAGCTGCCTTAGAGGTGAGGGATTCGTGTTTCTCTTCCAGCCTAGCGCGGGCTTTCGGTGCAACTGGTTGTCAGGGTTCCGGGAGTGACAAGATCGGGCTGTGTAAGAAGAGCAGGAAAGCGCACAGCTTAATGACGAGGAGCCTGCTCCTTACAGACTCGTATATTCTCCAACATAAGACAATTGCACAGCAAATAAACGCAACACCGCCCCCCCCCCCCTCAGGATTAGGTGGGATAAGGGGACAGAGTGGGAAGATGGGAGTCGGAGTTGGGCTGTTATCTCAGAACTTGCTGGCTCTGTCCACCTCTTTTCCCGCACCCCACGTCCGCTCCCTTTTAAATAGTTTGAAGTCTGTGGCATCCTAATTTCCTGGAGGCTCACACCCCTGAGAGCGCGGGCTGAAGGGCTCTTAGGAGAGTTAAGCCAAGTTCCTCCGATGGGATGGTACCATTGACTAGTCTCCTTTGAGGGGCTGTTGGAGCAGAGCTGAGTCCCTTCCCCGGGTCTCGACTCCCTGGTTGGGCCTCCGCTTGCGTGGGAGTTTTAACCCTGCAGCCCGCCCTTCCCCCCCGGTTCCCCCACCCCTTCAGGAGCGGCTGGCCCAGTGCCAGGACCAGAGTAGCCGGCATGCTGCTGAGCTGCGGGACTTCAAGAACAAGATGCTGCCTCTGCTGGAGGTGGCGGAGAAGGAGCGGGAGGCGCTCAGAGCCGAGGCAGACGTCATCGCGGGGAGAGTGGACCGTCTGGAGCGGGAAGTGGACTATCTGGAGACCCAGAACCCAGCTTTGCCCTGTGTAGAGCTGGATGAGAAGGCCACTGGAGGCTCGGGGGGCAAAGGCAAGGGCCGAAGAAATGAGAAGTACGATATGGTGACGGGTAAGCGATGGCAGAGAGGCCCGAGCAAGCGCACAACTCCCCTTCCCTGCCTCTCCTTGTCCCAAGCCACCGAGGCTCTGTCTTTCAGGATAGGCTTTGAGGAAGCCCCTAAGGACCAGTCTTAAGAGTTTCTTACTGGTCCCCCGTCTCTCAACCCTCCAGAAGTGGACCCGAGCGCAGGGAAACGTCTCCTTGTTCTCCGGCTGGGGGAAGCCCCTGATGCGCGGACCTAATTCTTGGCCTCTTGCCCGTTTCTTGCTCTCTCTCCCCCAGACTGCAGCTACACCATCGCTCAGGTGAGGTCAATGAAGATCCTGAAGCGGTTTGGGAGCCCGGCTGGTCTGTGGACCAAGGATCCGCTGGGGCCGGCGGAGAAGATCTACGTGTTGGACGGCACACAGAACGACACGGCCTTCGTCTTCCCGAGGCTGCGTGACTTCACCCTCGCCATGGCGGCCCGGAAAGCTTCCCGCATTCGGGTGCCCTTCCCCTGGGTGGGCACGGGACAGCTGGTGTACGGTGGCTTCCTCTACTACGCTCGCAGGCCTCCCGGAGGACCCGGAGGGGGTGGTGAACTGGAGCACACTTTGCAGCTGATCAAATTCCACCTGGCAAACCGAACGGTGGTGGACAGCTCGGTGTTCCCCGCCGAGCGGCTGATTCCCCCCTACGGGCTGACGGCAGACACGTACATCGACCTGGCAGCGGACGAGGAGGGCCTTTGGGCTGTCTATGCCACTCGGGAAGACGACAGGCATTTGTGTCTAGCCAAGTTAGACCCGCAGACCCTCGACACAGAGCAGCAGTGGGACACGCCGTGTCCCAGGGAGAACGCAGAGGCCGCCTTTGTCATCTGTGGGACCCTGTATGTTGTCTATAACACTCGCCCTGCCAGTCGGGCCCGTATTCAGTGTTCCTTTGACGCCAGCGGCACTCTCGCCCCTGAACGGGCAGCGCTCTCTTACTTTCCACGCCGATATGGCGCCCATGCTAGCCTTCGCTATAACCCCCGTGAGCGCCAGCTGTATGCCTGGGATGATGGCTACCAGATTGTCTACAAACTGGAGATGAGGAGGAAAGAGGAGGAAGTTTAATTAAGCAGCTAGCCTTGTGCTTTTGATTCTCTTATCCCCAGACATTTATATTCCTATCAGATCTCCTGCTGTCCATTCTTCAGAGTGAAGGCCAGCTGTGGCTCATAGACACTAATTTCTAAACGACAACCAAATTCTCATAAACTCTCTGGTTTATGCAGAACTCCAGATCTTTAGAACGAAGCAGCAAACACCTAAATCTTCACTCCTGCTCTTTCCTGCCCTGTGTCCACAAATTTTAGTTCCAAACTCAGAGCCCTGACCTTTGGATAGGGTCAACCCCAGGCGGCAGGTGACAGTATTCTTGCCCTCAGTATGACCCAAGGGAGAGAAGAACTCAAAGAGACAACTCCGGCCTCCCTCCTTCACCCCTCCAATGTGGGGGAGAATGGGGCTTTCCTCACATCACTTTGTATGGCAACATTTTGCATTAAAAGGAAAACCCACCACCATTCCTGTCCTTGTGTGTTTGGATCGGAGTTCTCATGGCCCTGTTTTCTTGCCCCGGCCCCAGTCTCTTACTCCTTAGCTGCGTTGGGGCTTGGCCGGGCTCCCTTAGCTCACTCCGGAACTTCTCTAGTTACACATTTTATATGGGGCACTTGGGAGGTTGGACAGAAGGCCACCCCCTCCGCATCCGCTGCGCTCCAGAGCAGCCACAGAGAAGCACCAATGACATTCAGCCTCTGCCTGCTGGACATTGGAGCCCAGAGGCAGGCCTTCCAGTTCCAGCTCTTAGTGGGTTTTGAACCGGAAAGTGGAGCTTACTGGCTTTGCAGTCTAGTGTAGGAAGCAGCGTGCAGTATGCACGTGTGTCTCCTCTCACCTCTGAAGCGGGTTCTGTCTCTGAGCCCAAGTCCCCACTCCCACCTCCAGCGCCAGCTCTTCCCAGGACGGGGTTGCACAATCCTTGGTCTGAACGGATCTGATTTTCCTGCTGCCACAGCGTCTGCGGTTTGGGCAGGGAGGAGGGGCAATGACCATCGCAGATGCTGGGCTCACCAGTTCCCCAACACATCCCCACTTTCCTTTTCTCCACCCTCAGCTGCCCACCCTGCTAAACCCATCTTGGAAGCTGACTGAAGTCTGCCCTGGAGTCCTGGAAACTTAACCCTTGTTGGTCCAACACCCTAAACTTTGTGCACCAGATTGCAGGGGCAATCCGGGAAGGCAGCAAGGACTGGAGGAGCACCAGGCTGTGGACTCCAGTCTCTGGGAATCTGCTGCTCCCTGTATGATGTCCCTTCCTAGGCCTCATCCTCATGTTCAACTCAGAGGCATAAGGCTGGCTGATAGATGGAAGCCTTGGCTTCTGTGGGGGAGTTTACCTCAGGCAGCCCTCTGGATTATTTGCCCAGGGTGAAAGAGGACAGAACATAGCCTTCTCTCCAAAGTACAACCTTCCTTCCACCTCAGGATGGGGTGGATCAGTCAGGGCCCATGATCCTCCTTTTGTCTTTCTTTCTTCTCTCAGCAGGCAGAGCTGCTCCTGACGTAGGTTGATGAGGGAAAGGAAAGAAAGGCAGCAAAAGCATCTCACAAAGGCGCTATTGTAGGGAGCCTGAGGCGGGTGGGGCCTCTCTCCCATTCAATTCTCTCCTAATGTGGGGCTGGCAACAGTAATCACGGCCTGTCAGCCCATAGAGGGGTCTGCCCACGGAACATCTGGCTGCGATGGGGGGCCTCTAGGAGGTTTGTGGAGGAGGGAGTTTTCTGTGGGGGCCCTGGGAGCAGGTCCAGGGGATGCAGGGTGCAGAGTGGCACTGTGGCACCGCGTGCATGTGTAATGGGCCGGCGAGCGTCACACGTGGCACCAGGTGAGACTGCGTGTATACAAATGAGTGGGTCTGCTAGGCTGTGCGCACGCGTGTGCGTGAGAGAGACTGAGGAGGGCACTGCCTGGAACTCTGTGTTGTGTAACTGTGTTCAAGTGCATGTGTGTGATCACGTGGCAGTGGTACCCGTCTTCTTCTCAGTGTGCCTGGGTGCCTAGGGGGAAGCCACTGGAGGGCGGGACTGGGTCTGCGGAGTTTGGTCGATATAGGAGTGGCTTTTTGATGACCCTACTAACAATAGCTCAGATGATGTGTGTCAATAACGCCAGTGCGGGCTCAAGTGCACGGATTGTACCTGTAACGCCTCGCCCATTGACTGGGCCACTCTGTTTCGCGCAGGTGTGCGCTTGTGACATATTCGTTTGCCAGAATCCTTAACGGGAAAGGGAAAAACAACTGGCTTTTTTGCCTTTTGTTGATTTGTTTTGAAATTTCCTTGGAAAGGCTTGTACAGACTTAACTAAGAGGGCAGAGGTCTCTGGGGCCTTGTCATTTAGTTCTTTATTTTCATTTTGGCTCTTGCACAGTGGCCCGGGGCTATTTTGGAAGTCTTTCAGAAGCTGAGAGGTACTGTGTGGGTAGATCCTGTGAGCTGTCCAGACTCATTACACTAAATCATCTGTTGCTCAAGGAGACCGTCTTGGCAGCTGAATCTTATCAAAAGCAGCTTTGCGTTCCTCCATCCCCAGATCTCCTAGGCTTTCCCTTAGCCAAAACAGGCTATGACCTCTAGTTGACCAGAACAGCATGGAAGGCAAAGAGCCTACTAGAGCAGAGTGAGGTTGAAAGCCCACGTAGAAGTTCCATACCTTCCCCCAATCCCAGGCTGGAGGACAGTCACCATTATAACCCCCAGAAGGGGCCACAGCCTGGAGACACTGTCTTTTTGACTGTTGGTCCAGGGTTGGGAGGACCTTCTCATCTCACCCCAGGCTCCCGAACTTCCTGCCTCACCATTTGAGCTCTTCTTTTTGATTCCAGTGTGCTTGGCTCCTTGGCACCTGCCAGAGAAAATATAGCGCTTGTCTGTTCATGTTAATGGAGGCCCCATTGGTGGGGAGGGCCAGGGCAGAGAGGATGACAGTGATTCAGCTGTCACTGCTTCCTCTGCGGCAGGGCTCCGAGCTAACCAGGAACCAGAGACCTTTCCCTTGCTTCCTCCTCCAGCCTCAGATTTTCCAGGCCCCCCTTTTGATTCCTGTCCTTGCACAGGCTCCTGTTCCTGAGGCTCCCAGGAGTGCCTCTTTCCACAGCTCCCTGTTGTTCTAGCTGGCTTAGGTCAAAACACATTCATTTTGAGAGTTGCTGAGAATACCCTCGTGTTCCTCCTGGCCTTTAGTTTGGGTCTCTAGGGCTTGCTATCCAGCCTGTCTGGCTGCTTCACCGCATGCTCTTGGTAAGCCTGCCATTTCATCAGCTGGAGGGCAAGACCTGTTTAGCTTGTTGGGATCTCCTTGGTCCCAGCAGCCTGGGAGAGGGTACCACGTCCTCAGCTGCTGCAAACCACCAAGTGTGCTAAGCTCTCACCCCCCCTCTCTTTTTTTTTCTTTTATGTGTGTGGATGTTTCATCTATGTATGCATGCCTCAGGCCCACAGAGTCTAGCAGAGGGTATTGGATCCCTAAAACTGCAGCTACAGATGGTGATGAGCTGTCATGTGGGTGCTGGGAATTGAACCCAGGTCTTCTAGAAGAGCAGCCAGTGCTCCAACTGCTGAGGCATCACCTCTCCTGCCCCCTCTCCTCCACCTCCTTAATGTCTATGCTCATGAGGCAGAGTTTCAGAGGTTAAGTCTTTATTTATGAATTTAATAACTGCACAGAAGAACGAAATACGGATGTCAGTGTGCGGAGTCTCAAGGGCAGCGGAGTGAGAAAGGAAAATAGCCCCCGCTCACCAGAACTACTCATGGTACCCAGCTCTGCAGAACAGCTCACAGGGCTGCCTGCATCGACTCCCTCGAGTATTTGCCTCTCTGAGCATACACTTCTTCCTCCCTGACCACAGCTGGGATGCTCAGGGGGGAACGAGTCAGATTCTCTTTTCTGGGCATCTTAGAAATGACAGATCGGAGAGATTAGATCCAAGAAAGTATTTGGACAGTCTTTCTCCCCAGTTTAAAAAAAAAAAATCTCCTCTCTAGAGACACTCTGTCTGCTGCAGAGAGATGGTGAAAGCCAGACGTTCAGAAGCAGGCAGGGAAAGAGGGGCTGGCCCTGGTCAGTGTCCACCCCCTACCTATAGCCATCTCTCGGGTGATGGGAAGACAGCACATTCTGCCTCCTAGGTCCCGAAAAATGTCCAGATCCTTATGTTTGGGTTCTCTGGCTTTGTTTACGCCAGTATGATCAGGTTTCTGTTTCCCACAGCCCAGTGACTTCCAATCTTCACTTCACCTTCCAACCAAAACAGCCATACCATGCGTGAGCTACTGGCAAAAGAGCTGTGCCCCTGGAGGACTTTCTTCCCTGAGCATAACCCAGGAGACTTACTAGAATAATGAAAGAACTGGTGCTCTGCCTGTGAGTCTTCCTCCAAGCCTCCCTCAAGCCATGCTGCCTTCCACATGGCCTAGTCAGTCAACTCTCCTGTTCTGTTCCTTCATGGTTGTTACAGTTTGGGTCTTTAAATTTCGTGAATGGGTGTTTTGCCTGCATGCTTGTCTGTACACTTGTAGGCTTGCTTCCCTTGAAACCAAAAGAGGATGTTGTCTCCCCTGGAACTGGAGTTACAGAAGTTTGTGAGCCACCATGTGGACCCTGGGAATTAGACACCAGATTCCTGGAAGAGCAGCCATGGAGCCTTCTCTCTAGTCCACAGAGCTTTCATCTTGAGTGCCCCTGCAAAGTGTTAAAGGCCTGGTCCCCAGCTGATGTCACTAGGAAGGTTCTAAGAGTCAGTAGTGTTAGGCCTTGGAGAGATTATTGGACTCCTTGCCCGTTCCTCTCTCTGACACTTTCGGGAGCACTTTTACTCCGTCACGTGCCCCTCCCCCACGTGATGCTCTGCCTTGCCACAGGCTCAAAGCAGCCAGGCTAGTTTACCGTGGACTGAAGTATTTGGTCAAAGTGACAAAACCTAACACAGTGATGGTGTCTTTCCATCCCATCATAGCTGGAGTTTGTTGTTTTCAGAGGCAACATGTTACCTATTATAAAAACTTTGGAGTCAGAGAATCTTGAGGAGAGTTTCAGGTCAGAATCTGCCCTATGATACAAGTTATTTAAATCCATAAAATAATAGCTACTCAGTGGGATTCTCAATGTGGGGTAAAGACAACATACGTAAACTTAGGAGTGGCATAGACAGGGCACCGGTGTTCTCAATTATCACCTTCTTTCTGATCATCTACACTCAGGCACACAGGGTCAGCTGCCTCTGCCGTCAGCACTTATTCACCCTGGAGCCCGTCGTCACAGCTGTTTGGTCCATCTTTGTGTCCTCAGAGCCTAATACAGGGCCCAAGGAAGTACGTATGGAATGAGTAACTATTGAAACTTAACATCTGCAATACACCATGAGCCTTTGAGAAGAGTCCCAGAGGAACACGCTGTCCTCAGAACTCAGAACCTGACTCAGGAATGGCACACTGTGGGCAAGCAGTAAATGCTCTTGCT